TAATGCCACGCTGCCTAAAAGGAACTCACCCGTGTTTTTGGACTCCTCCGTTCTGTGCTGCTCGCCTCCAGAAGACCTGTAAGACAAGAAACACTTTAATTAACATTCAAACCATCTCTGAAAAGAAAGACTGAACCTTTCAAAATACTCACCTCATCTCCTCATTCCCWTACAGCTGATGACCCACTACCCTGCACCTGTAAATAAAAAGCACTTACCTTTTAATTCCTGTCTCCTGGTCTGGTTCTTAGTTCGGTTGACTGTTGAACACTTTTGTAAATCATATCAGGGTCGGCCCGATTGGAACCTCGTGTGATGACTTGGGCATGCATGACTGYGTGTGTGGCACTGGAACAGTGTTTTATTGTTTTGATCCCAGTTTTTTTATCACATCAGTTTCAGTTTCTTTAAATTCATCCGGCTATCTTTGTCCGGGTGGACAGCTCAAGGCACGTACAAAATGGCGTGAGAATTCAGACGGACGGCCCAGAAACCCACCACAGCAGAGCAGGAGCTCAGGTACAGGAACAGAGGGCCCAACAGACTCAGCCAGTTCAGAAACAGCAGACGAGGAGGCATCAGGGACCGATGAGGAACCGACTGAATTTGAAGCAGACAGGAACCAGGAGGAAGAGGCCAGAGCTGAAGGGGAAGCAGAGGAGGATATGAGACTGAAGAGGACACGAAGGTGTTTGCCAAAGCCGGAGAGTACTTGACAGCAAAAGAAGGTGACAGGGAGGACCCAGAAGTGACAGCAGCCGATAACGAACACCAGGAGATGATTGCAGCTGACAGAGAGGACATGGAGGTGACTGCTGCAGCTGAGAACACAGAAGCCAATGTCCCAACAGGAACAGGACCAGGAGCCAATGTCCCAACAGGAACAGGACCAGGAGCCAATGTCCCAACAGGAACAGGACCAGGAGCCAATGTCCCAACAAGAACAGGACCAGGAGCCAATGTCCCAACAGGAACAGAACCAGGAGCCAATGTCCCAACAGGAAAAGGACCAGGAGTCAATGTCCCAACAGGAACAGGACCAGGAGCCAATGTCCCAATAGGAAAAGGACCAGGAGCTAATGTCCCAACAGGAACAGGACCAGGAGCCAATGTCCCAACAGGAACAGGACCAGGAGACAAAGGACCAACCGGAACAGGACCAGGAGTCAAAAGGACCAACAGGAAGAGAACCAGGAGCCAATGTCCCAACAGGAACAGGACCAGGAGACAAAGGACCAGTAGGAACAGGACCAAGAGCCAATGTCCCAACAGGAACAGAACCAGGAGCCAATGTCCCAGCAGGAACAGAACCGGGAGCCAATGTCCCAACAGGAACAGGACCGGGAGCCAATGTTCCAACAGGAACAGGACCAGGAGCCAATGTCCCAACAAGAACAGAACCAGGAGCCAATGTCCCAACAGGAACAGGACCAGGAGTCAATGTCCCAACAGGAACAGGACCAGGAGACAAAGGACCATCAAGAACAGGATCGGGAGTCAAAGGACCAGCAGGAACTGCATAAAGGGCAGAAGGATGGGCTTCAAAACCCTGTGGAACTGCTGGCCCAGGACCAGGAACAAGTGACTCAGGTGCATCGGCTCTGGATCTGCTCAGGAGCTTCTACAGATTACTGTAGGTAGTGACTGAAAGAACGAGATCAYGGATACAAGCTGCCAAAAGGAGTTTCCTCTGCAGGGTGTCTGGGCTCTCCCTTAGAGATAGGGTGAGAAGCTCAGTCATCCAAGAGGGACTCAGAGTAGAGCCGCTGTTCCTCCACGTCAAGAGGAGCCAGTTGAGGTGGTTCATCTGGTTAGGATGCCTCCTGGGCGCCTCCCTGGTGAGGTGTTCTGGGCACGTCGTGCTGGGAGGAGGCCCAGAGGAAGACCCAGGACACGCTGGAGGGACTATGTTTCTCGGCTGGCCTGGGAACACCTTGGTATTCCCCCAGAGGAGCTGGCCCAAGTGGCTGGGGAGAGGGAAGTCTGGGTCTCTCTGCTTAGTCTGCTGCCCCCGCGACCCAATCCCGGATAAGAGGAAGTAAATAGAATGGAATTGAATTGAGGTGAAACTGAGTAGGAATCAAACCTACTGACTGTAAGTTTTTGAAAGTTGAAATCTAAGCCCCCCTTCTCTGTTAAAAGTTGTTTTACCTTGTTTGACATTAACTGCTTCCTTCATTCCACAGCGGCCAGCTCTCATGCAATGAGCGTGAGACACAGTTGACTACATCCCCATGCTCTCATGCCACATGTCACATTTCACACACTGAAACCAGCTGAATTAGCCAGTATTTATTTATTTTTACCCAAAATGCTACTGCGTATCGGCGCAGCTGCATTTGCGATCGCCCCTGAAGCTGGTGGAAGAATCAAATGTCAAATGTGAGCGGCCCCTCCCAAACTGAAAAAGAGAAAGAGGAAGAAATGAGAGCCGGTAAAATTAGTAAACATGTTAAAAACAAGTGAGAAAGAGATGGGGCAGAGAAACTAAGAAGGAAAAAAAGAAAAAGTTAGTAGAAAATGCAACTAAATGTGTTAAATGAACAGATACCATCAGATGTTTAACTTGAATTTGAATTACATTAACAGACTTATAAAACAAGAGTGAAATCTGATGGCCCACAGTGTCAAAAGCAGCAAAGTCTAAAAGCACAAGAGTCTCCAAAGTCAATGGTTAAAAATAYATCATTAAACTTTTAAAAGACTTTATTTGTGGATGTTCATGAGGAACAACACAGTTTAACTAGTTTTTACTAAGACAAAAAGTCTTGAAGCTGCAGGTTGACAGGAATCGCAGCAAGAAAAGGGCTCAGWATAAGAACAAGAGGATTGACCATGAAACACCATCAGTGGACCAGTGAAGACTGAAAGATTGTGTTAGTGTTCACTGATGAATACAACTTTAAAATCTGCATTTGTATTTGTATTTACTATTGTATTTACATATTGTATTTGTTTGGCTTCTCAGTGTGTGACATCTGTTAAACATGAAGGAAGAAATGTGATGATCTGAGTCTGTCTTGCTGGATCCAGGGTTGGGTCTGTCACACCTCATTGTGATGGTGAAAGAAACTGGACTCACAGACACCTTGACTTTCAGTTTTGGGTCACCTTGTTTTAAACCTCTGGCAGTTCAGCCAGTTTGTTTTCCCTTGAAGCTGTGCATTGGACTTGAGCTGCTTGAATTTTAAATTTAAAAACTGTAAAAATGAAGGTGTTCTGAAACTTTTGACCAGTGTATACTTCAGAAATACATCTACAGATGATAAACATTTTATATCAATCTGATGCAAGATGGCTGCCACAGCTCAACCTTAGCAGATACAAAAAAGGACTCATTCAGTTGTGACAGTAGCTTTGAGTCACCTCAATATGTACTTTGAGTGCTAATGGTGCAAGTTTGTATTATTTTTTAAATTCGATCAAGCTGGCTATAACTCCATCATTTCTCAAAATGGTCTTAACTAAAAACTCTGACACAAATATGGCTTCAATAAATGCTAAACCTTTAATTGGGAAATGTGAGTACATCAGTCTTAAAATGGCACAATAAAAAAACATACAGGTTTGTACAGATTCCTCTAAAAAATACAAGTTTTAGTTTAGTGATTTTTATTTTTTTATTTTGACCATGAAATATACAGGACACATTTATATATATATAAAAAGATTACCAAATCAAAATGTATTGTTTAAATACACAGGTATAGTGAGATGTAATAGTACACTCAAAAACAAACAAGGCACCTGTTTGACAAAAACTGAAATACTGTGAGCCTACATAAGGACTGTGTGTTCAGGTTTGTTACATGACTTTTTTACACTTAATAATTACTTCCTGAATGAAAAACAAGAACATTTAATTTTCCWGTATCATTTATTGATTTCCTTCACAATACAGTTTTTAATTTAAACAAAAAGGATTGGATCAAATTTGACCAATTTATAACTTGAATTATATAATTTAACTGGGAAGTTTAAACAGATACTTGTACTCACTGAATACAAACCACCTAGTACCTAAGAGACTGAGCTGTATAAGGACATGACTTGTTACCCTGAACCTACTTGGTACATAACAGAATATTTAGCCAAGCAACAAAGTTTTTTTCCCTCTGTATTTTGCCATCTTTAATGTGGATGCTCTGACCACATTATAACATGATAGGAATGTTACAGCGGTTTGATTAAAATGTTTGGATGAAGATTTGTCTGTACATGGAAAAATAAAATTTTGTTTATCAAAATGATCTTGATTACTGTAGGCTGGACATTAATTAAGATGATTAAAACTCGGCCCTAAAAATAAATGAACCAACCAASCTGTTGATCCAGCTCAAATGAAGTWGKAGATGTATRAATGCTTCATCATGAAAGGAAGTCAATTAATTATGTGGAACTTCCCTACCCCATGTATTTTTATTTTCACTGAACCAGCTGTTTTTTTAAGTAAATTACTTTTTTACAAAGCAAAAAAAAGGAGAATGATTCACTGGTCATTGTTTATAAAACAAGTTTTACACAGAAAATGTTAAAAAGAACCTTAGTTTCTCAGCAAAATTTGAATCTAGCCTCAATTTGAGTTATTTTTTAAAGCTTATTTTAAAACAGAGGCAGGCAAAGTTCATCACTTCCATTTGTTCTAGCTTGGAAAACAAGGGGAAAAACAAGCATAAGACTTTTTTCTTTTAAATAAAAAATCTTATGTGAACATTTGTACAGAGCCCTCTAGAGGTCATGAACAGAAATAAAATTTAAGATGGTAAGAATCGGTTTGCTTAGTATCAGGTATTTAAATTAACACTGATGTCTACATGTAGAGGTGTTGTGTTTAGTTTTGTTTTCAGTGTGGACAGGGAAASAGACAGAAATAAAACACTGCAGTGAGACACAGGTTTAGGGTACAACTACAAGCTCCTTTAGGCTGTAGTATTTAACAACATGGACAGAATTATCATTGTTTTCAYTGAGGTCACATCAGACATTTATAACTTTTTAAAATGTTTTTCAACAGTTCAATTACAAACATGCAAGTTTGTATAATTCTATCTCAGGTGTACCCTGCCCCTYGCACTGAAACTGCTGGATATGGGCACCAGTGAYGCCCATGACCCTGAAAGAAAGAAGCGGRTATAGATAATGGATGGATAGATGGAAGTTTGCACAGAAGAACTAAACTGAAGGAACAGATTCTTACAGTTTTACGTCTACCCATGACCCCTGGTGAGCTTTGTAAGATTCAGACTTCTTCGTCGTCATTTTCAGAATCAGAGCTCATTTGACCCAACTCCTCATAATCCTTTTCCAGACAAGCAAGGTCCTCTCTGGCCTCTGTGAACTCTCCCTCCTCCATACCTTCGCCCACATACCAGTGGACGAAAGCTCGCTTGGCGTACATCAGATCAAACTTGTGGTCAAGACGCGACCAGGCYTCAGCGATRGCGGTGGTGTTGCTCAGCATGCACACWGCTCTCTGGACCTTGGCCAAGTCTCCTCCAGGGACCGCAGTTGGAGGTTGGTAATTAATGCCGACCTGATGAGATAAAGATTAGAATCAGAGATAAATTACCTCTACCTGTGGTTCTGTCTTTGTGTCCTCACCTTGAAGCCAGTGGGGCACCAGTCAACAAACTGGATGGAGCGTCGGGTCTTTATGCTCGAWATGGCAGCATTGACATCTTTTGGCAGAACATCACCTCTGTACAGCATGCAGCACGCCATGTACTTGCCCCGACGAGGATCACACTTAACCATCTGATTGGTCGGTTCGAAGCACGCACTGGTGATCTCAGACACTGTCAGCTGCTCGTGGTAGGCCTTCTCAGCTGAGATGATGGGTGAGTAGGTCACGAGAGGGAAGTGGATACGAGGGAATGGGACCAGGTTAGTCTGGAACTCCGTCAGGTCAACGTTGAGGGCGCCGTCGAAACGAAGTGAAGCGGTGATGGAGGAAACGATCTGACCAATCAGTCTGTTGAGGTTGATGTAGCCAGGAGTCTCAATGTTCATGTTGCGGCGACAGATGTCGTAGATGGCCTCGTTGTCCACCATGAAGGCGCAGTCGGAGTGTTCCAGGGTGGTGTGGGTGGTCAGGACAGCRTTGTATGGCTCCACCACTGCAGTGGACACCTGGGGAGCTGGGTACACTGCGAACTCCAGCTTAGATTTCTTACCAAAGTCTAATGAGAGACGCTCCATGAGGAGAGAGGTGAAACCAGAGCCAGTACCTCCGCCAAAGCTRTGGAAGACGAGGAACCCCTGTAGACCGGAGCACTGATCAGTCTGAAGAGAAAAACACAACAAGATCAAAGGTTTAAAGAAGTTTTTCTCTGCTAAAGAACACATTTAGTGAGAACACTGTCATACTGAAAAAACTCCATTTGCAGTCGAGAACCATGAGATTCCAATAACACAAATCATCAGCTTCAACCAATTGTGAGTWACAGCACACCCAGTAACTTCAATTTTATAAAAATAAAAACAAACGCAAACATACAAGTAACATATTCGGTTGGCTGTTTTCAGCAGTCAATACCCCGTTTGCACATTCCAAAGCACGCATGTAACAAATATTTTGATTGGACGGCGAAATGCCACCACAGTTWTCATTCCTGCAAAAGTGAGGGAGRATGTAATTTGAAAGAGCGAGGTGATGATGGCAAGTTGTAATGTCGATGTGTGGTTTTGGAAAATTGTGGACAACCAATGGACAAAACCCTGAAAAGTGTGCCGTGGATCTGAGAGGATGTCATTGTGAAACAACTGTCGATGGGGGGYCACCRTGTCAAAGAAGAAGATCGCCGAAACAAGGACGATGAAGTTGGCTAGAGCCATCGCGTTTTCGAAAGATGGCCATGKTCAGATTGTTKGCATTTGTGGCATTGCTGATGATAGYGTTTGTGCTGGCACTGMTGTAATACATGCTAAAGTCAAAGCAGGCATGAAGCAGCAGAATTATGGAGGGTTCMTTGCTCTGACTGAAAGTGGTGAAATCCTTAAGGCCGTTTGTGAATGCCCAGCAGGATATGTTAGTTGTTCTTGTCTTGTTTTCATCAAACCTTTGACTCAAGAGTCAGAATCAAACGTTTGTGTCAGTGCCATAGAGTTTCTCACACCAAAACTTGCTGAATTTTAACTGATTTGGTATTTATTATATATTTATGATTACACACTTTCCTGTTTTTCATCAGAGTAAAGTCGTGAGGGCAAAGCACACTGAGCCACAGCTTTCTTCTTGTAGCAGCTTTGCTCAACTTTCCTAGAGGAATCTGGTAAAAGGAGCAAGCTTCTCTTTTATCTTTTACTTGGTCACGTTGCCTCGAACAATTACACACTACAGAAGTCACTTTTCCCCATTGCTATCATTGGAAGGAATGTAAACACTAGACTTGTACGGCGAATGATCCCCYTTACTTCTGGTGAATGTGCGAAAACYGTGTGTGCGTTATGACCAAAATGTGCAAAAAGTCWAATTTTTCTTTTGTTAATAAACTAATCTTATTTAAGATGTGCTCATCCTATGTGGTTCCTTGCAGAGATGTAGAGATCTTGTTTTAATGTGTTAACAGGTACTAAGYGTAATTACAGCATCAGTCTAATTTAATTTAGCTCAGTGGCTGGAAAAAATGATCATGACTTAAGAGGATACTGGCCACAGAGCAATCTTTTTGTTTTGTCATGAATTTTGACTTTTGTTTCTCAACTAGCCTGCATGTGTTTCAAATATGGTTTTGACATCTACCACTTAATATGAGATTTTGGTTGTGAAATGTGGGCTTTAAATCAAGTGTTAGAGGCAAAACCTTTTCTTTTTGACAGCTGAAAAACATAGGAGGCACAAGATAAATTCAATTCAATTTCAATTTAATTTAATTATATAGAGCCACAACAAACATCATCTCAGGGCATTGGAC